GATTAGAGCCTGGGCACTCACTCACAAGCCAGGCCCACGCCTTACTGTGAAATGACATCAGGAACACCTGTAACCTTTGGCTGGCCGAAGGGAGCAGATGCTAACTACACCGGAGATTCCGAATTACATATTAGTTAGCGTTTAAAAGAGAAAATGGAAAGTATTGCCCACTGTCTGTTGATTTCAGAGTGCTGCTCTCACATCTGTTGCACCATCTGGATTATGAGTTTATTTACCTGTGTTCAAGAAACGTAAAGCTGAGAGAGACCACAACAAAGTAGAAAAACAAAGGGCTTGTTTTTGGCTGGATTTTCAGGCACACATGTTATATAAAGAAAATAGCATCAGAAGCTCTGCGGGAAATGCTCTGAGCTTACAGTTAAAGTCTCCTGAATAGCATTGAACAGTTCCCACAGTACACACATTATAGCTACTCTAAAAGCTTAATGAGTTTGCTTCGGCATCCAAACTGGAGAAAAGCTTTAGCCATTAATCGGTTCTTAATTCACTGTCGCAGCTGGATGTAATTCACTGGCTCCAAATTGATATGTTCCTTTATTTAATCTTTGCAGCCTCAAACATTTTTAGCATTACCATGTGCCCCCCACACACCCTCAATCTAGAAGAAAGATGTTTAATCCCTTGCATACTTCAGGTTCTCATAATAGAAGACTTCATTGCATTGACTTAGCTGATCAATAACTTCTAACCTTTAATCTGGAAGTAAAATGAGTTTTCCAAACAAACAAAAAAAAGCCTTTTGTTATTGTGAAGTACTGTGCTAACAACATTAATAAAGGTGCATATTATAAGCAAAAAAAGAAATTTTTAGAGAGGAAATCTCCAACCCCTGGCATTGGGAAGGAAGAGAAGCTTCAGCTGTTATGGAACATGGTATATTAATATGTTTAATAAAATACCAATTTTACCCACCAGTCCTGCAATACGTTTAGAAAAATGTTGTTGCATGTATTAATCCTAAGCAGTGTCAGATGATACCTGAGGTAGCAGGCACATTTACATCTGCCAAAAGATTTTCTATCTTTTTGCAGCATTATCAAAGTACTAGAGGACCTTTCCGTGTGTTCAGGGAATGTAAACAGCTATAAACAGCTACATTATGGCTGCTGTCTACACAGTAGGAAAAGAAAAGAAGCTCTCAGAATCATTTTTTCCCACTATAGCCAGCACATCTGCATATGACCAAGTGTAATTTTGCACAAGAGATGTGTAATTTACACTCCTGATGCATAAATTGTCCCAGTACACAAAAATGAAACAACATTATGTCTGAGTTTGTTTTTATATATCTCTAGTAGGGTTAGAAGAAGTTGAAAATTATAGTCATTTATTATGTACATAAAGAAACCCTTGTGTATTATGACCCTACACACATACAAGGAATTCGGGTAATAGTCTTCTCTCTTTCTCTGATTTTAAAAGCAGAAATCAAGAAACATCATTTTGCAGTTCCTTCCTTTTGAAAGAATAAAGGTGCTTGATTTCTAGATCACAAGTTTTGGTGCAGCCCAAACTGATAGTAACTGAAAATTAATTTATAAAATGGTTTCACTGCAACTGTCACTGGACAATAAGTCTATATCTTATCATTAAAGAGAAGAAAATACATTAACCATAGTAAGCGCAGCACCCAGTAAATAAAAGAAATGTTTTTTTAAGAGGAGAATGAAATGAGTCTACAGTGTGAGTTACTGGGTTGCCAGTGTATCCTCTGCACCAGTTGAGCAAGCAAAAGGCTGCTAAGGCATGGCTTCCCAATTTTATTCCTCCCAGAAATGATAATGAACTTCCAGCTAAAAAGCAAAACCATCAGATTAGGTATGTAGTCTTTATGGTGATTCCTCTTGTACAAGACCTGATTCAGTGGCAACATCACTTAAACACTTTATCTTAGATTATTCTGACGCAGAGCCTTTATTTGGTGAATGATGATGTCGTAATTCCATGTCCAAGTAGCTGAAGTTTAAAAAACATACCAAAACCAGAAGGATCTAGAGGAAAGACATTAAGAATATAAACAAAAAAAAAAATCTAAATTGTCTATAATTTTATATAATTGTAAATAAATTTCTCATATTATAATTTTATAATTTCTAGTAAATGAACTGGATTCGTTGCTGACCTCCCAGAATACATTCATAACAAAATTAAAAGAAGAATGTTTTCTGTTGGGAAGGAAGTTGGAACAAATGTCAGAAAAATACAGGTTAGTATATTTTTCTTACCCTGTCCCTTTTATTGTTATGACATGCTTATATTTTTATATTTATTATTATTCATTTTGTCCCAGGTATTGCACATGCTCTGAATATAATATATGCCACTTAAAAAACATGGATGGACTTTTATCCAGGATAATTCTAATTTTCCACTTTTCAGATCATGTTTCTGGCTATTACTTCAAATTTCTTAGACAATTCCAATGTAAAAACTGCATACTGTTTTCTTCCTGATCTTCCCATTCTTGATATGAAGAGTGGAAAATTGTTCACAGAGCTACAATTCAAGTTCATCTGAAATTATATGAAAAATACTAGATAGCTGAAGTTCTCAAAACTGTAGTCTGTTGGTTTAATTATTTACTTCAAGCTTCATTCACGATATTGCACACTGAATAATCATGTCTGAAATAATTGTCATCAAAATTGCTTGTCATTGAAGCTCTGATTCTGCTGCCACTTGTTATGTGGAGCTCTTGTTAAAATCAGTAGCAGGTCTAAATACCATAAATAAAGCCATTAAAAATTCAGGAAGAGAACAAAACCTGGAAGCAGTAACTGGTTGAAATAAATACAAGAGTACGAAGGTATCTATTTAAAAGTTCTGTAGGACAGGACTATCTTTTTAAAAATGAAAAAAAAAAATTAATTTTGTAGTTCTATACCAGTAAATCATTTGATTTTCCATTTTAAAGTGTGAAAATAGTCTCTGTTGAAACTTTCTGTAGGGTTCATATTTAGGGTAGTAAACAGGCCTGAAATGGTGTGTTGGCATTCTGCAACTTCTGTAAATTTTGTGTAAACTGAATTTGGTAATAAAGGGTAGGATTCATCTTGCATGGCTTATGTGAAGTAAAAAAAACACTCAGCAAAGATAAAATCGGTTTTCAAGATAGGATTCTTCTGCTGGGCGGATTTAATCATCCTGCTGGGGTAACATAACAGGGGCAACACTCACTTGGGGAGAGAACTCATTTATCCCAGTATCCTGTTTGCAGGAATGGTCAAAGGGGAATGATAAAAGTAGATGATAGACACACACACACACACACACATATATATATATGTAAAAAATATATGATGCTTCCCACAGGTACTGCCTCCACTGCCCATCCTACTTTCCACTGAATATAAAATGTTGACTAGCTGTTAAGTGGCTGAAGTTGGGAGATAAATCCCATCCAGAGTGTTTGGGGAAGAAATTAGAATCTTGAGGAAATGTAATCAATCTTACCTTACAAGTGTTGTGATGGGTACTTGAGAGAGAAGCAAACAGAATTTTTCTTCTGAAAAAGCAGGGCTTTTCTGCTAAAGTAATACAAAATCTTAAAAGATTCAAATGTTATTATTATTCCAGCAATAAAAATGCACACAGACTTTGTTGCTAGAGCTCACAGTCACAGACTAGTAACTGTAAAAGGATGAAGGAAAGACAGAAAACATACTGTGAAAACACATTATTCTCTGAAAATAAATACCAGAGATTGCCAAGTGTTTCTCCACCTAGCAGCATTAGCTGACTATGTCAAGAACCTGAAAAGGGGAAAAGGAGCCCTCTTGGATCTCTTGGAAGTGGTATATTTTGCACAAGAAAAAGTATGAAAGAAGTATGAGAGCAGTTCTGAGAAGGAGCCCTAAAATAGCTTGAGCTTGCCTTCATGGGAGTGGGAGCTAATGCAGTCAGTAGCAAGAATGGAGGAATAGGTAGGGACAAAGAAAGCATGTGAAAATGAGAACAGAAATGTGGAACTGGAAATGGTAGAAAATGGTAAACTAATAGATGGCTTCAAAAAATGATGTGATCAGGAGATGCAGAAAATGTCTTTGGCCAAGTTTTAAACTCATGATCAGTATATGTATCTTTCAGTAACGTCTCTCCGTAAGGCAATCTTCATGCTCATTGTCACTGGATATAGTGTAAAACCACAATTCTGGGACAGAATGCTGTAGCTTTGTCTTCTGAAAAAAAAAGTAATCATTTTTGGAAGATTTTATAACTTAGGTCTCGTATACATTGATAAAAGCAGATCATGAAGCAGCAGTGTGCCCTATTTGCATGGAAAAGACTTTTTCCATGTTGTTTTCCATGTTTTTGGCCTTATCATAAACTGAATTTTGGACCTGGATGTGTATTTTCTTGCTATACTTCTAGAATCTGTGTCTTAGTTTCCATGGGGTTAAGAAATAACTGTATACTATCAGTACCATTATTTAATTGGTAAAACACTCAAGCTTTTTTAATAACAAATGCAAGGGTAAGTTTATATAAAATTTTGGGGATTTGCTAGGAAGTAAATGGCCCATTGGTAATAAGAGGCATTTCAAATTTACCTGTGACAACTACACGATTTCAGTGGGACACCTCTGAATTGCACATATATCTTATATTTAATACAGGTTTTCTAAGAAATTTAAACTGAAGTTTTCTTGTTAATATGTAAGCTGGAACCATTTTTGTGAGCTGGCCTCTACACAGGATTAGAAAAGCTTCAGAAAGACAATGTCAGACAAATTATAAACCCCTCAAGCTGTGCAGAAAGAAGATAGTGTCTGTGAAGGTTTTTGTATGCATAGGCATGTTTAAAAATACAGTCCTTTGTTGATTTCTTCTCTGTTATTTTGTTCTTTTTTTTTTTTTCTCTGATTGTCACTGTCTGGGTTTCTAGGTTGTAGATTAATGCTTAACACTACCCACTGTGTATTTGTGATTTGCGTTTTGTAATTAAGGGGAACAATGGGAGTCCATTGGGTCTCGTTATATATAATGGTTGGTTTAATTTGTTTCACTTCTATCTTGTTAATTGTAAATTGATCATTAAGATTTGAATTCTAATCTGTCACCAGGGTTGTGAGTATTGAAGCTAGAGCAATGATCCTGGTTTTAATCACTGATGATGAGAAACAAATTTTATCATTTTGGTACATATTGCAGTTCATATATTTTAACACTGTATTTTATGGTGTTATAAATATTGTTAAATGACTTTTAGTGTAGTTTTACTGTTTGGACTATAATGTATAAATTATATGACTGGTTTGGCAACAGTAGGCATCCAACTGTGTGAGTTTAATTGAAGTAAAGAACACACACCCGGCTGAACTATTTTTCTGCATGTTCGGTTGACTGCAGTCATTGCGCTCAATACCAGAAGTGAGATGTTTGCTGAAGATAGCCGTACGAAGATGTGAAACAGTCTGTCTGAAGGATCAGACGTTAAAACTATATGCAACAATACTGTGTCAGCAGAAAATATTTTAGAGCATGTATTTAATTGCTGTACAACTAAAGAATTGGTTTTAAGAGTAGGAAAAGGCAGTGCTTAAAAAGCGCTGCAGTGCAAAAGGTAATTCAGAGGAGTAAAGGCAGCACTGCTACCTTGGTGTTCAAAAATCAGTTCATCCTAAAAATATCCTAAGACTGACTTTGATTTGTCACTATTTAACATTTGCTGGTTCTTTGCCTCCACTATTTGAATGCTTTGGAGGAACCTGTGGTTTTGGTTTTTTTTTCCCAAGACTCTTCCATCAAGGATGGTGGATAAAAAGTTACATGTGTTTTTAAGTAGAAGTTGAGGCTTTCTTGGTAGTTGAATGGATCCAGAAGTATAGAGGGTTTTTTTGTTGTTGTCCTTGTCCTCCCCCAGTCATCATCAATTATTTTTAACGCAGTGACAAGTAAATGAGATTTGGCAAAAATCTATTACCCATCTCCTTATAAGCATGTATTTTACATTTTCATTTTCCTGTGGCATTGTAGCTTTGCTCTGTGCAGTTTCAAAATAATGTTGATTTCATACAGGTCTTTTGAGTGTATCAGATCTCAGAAGCACACACAGACACATTGACATGACACTATGATTTGTGGGGCCAGCCTGAGTCTGCAGAAGTGCAACTCCATGCAGAGTTCAGCTCAGATGGCAGCACTCCAAATGTCTGCATGCTTCAGTTTCTTCTAAGTCCACCACAGCTTACTACTCGGTCTGTTGGACCCAGAGTAGCTCTTGTGGAGCAACATAAGCATGTCAGTGCTGTGTCCTTTAGTTGTTCTGGATCCATCAGACATAGTGCTTAGTGCACAGATTTTTCTGATTTACCTCTGTCCCTGGCATTACATGTGGGCTATCTCTGAAGTTCAGGACTGTGTACTTTGGCACGTGCCCCTCGCCTCTCCTGTCCCTGCTGTTACAGCTTGGGAGCAGAGTGATTCAGAAGTATTTACACAGACCCAGTCCTGCCCTGGCTGGGTGGAGTTGCTACTCCTAGTATACATGTGCTGTCACATTCAGTACAGTTGTTCTGCTTGTTACAATTGGTTGGTTTTGTGTTTGGTTTTTTTAAACTAACAATTTTGACATTATTTAGATATCACATAGAATTAAGTGTTCTGTCTTGATCTTTGAAAACTGAGGTGGATAAGTGGTGTATTAAAGATGCAGAGGAAGTCTTTGTCAGGTTATAATGAAGACTCTTGGTATGCAGTCTTGTACTGGGACCAGTGTTCTCTCTTTAATGCCGACACGTGAACCTTTTATCATTGACCTTAGTAGGCATTCTGCCCTTCATATGTGCTGTCCTCCAAAATTTCAGTGCAATGAAATACTTGAATCTGGATGGTCAGGCTCTTAAATGTTTTACTTGGAAGGGTCACTGTGTAAATAATATTTTAACTGGAATGTTTGGGTTTTTTTCTGAGTTAAACTGTAATTACAAATGACATGCTTTAAAGCATCAGGCATTTAGAACTGTATTTCAGAGATTGAAAGTCATGCTACTCATGTTTTCAATGAATTCAGTACTTTCTTTTGTTCCGTTAGTTGTAATTTTCAGTAGCATTTTGGTTTTCGTTTATTTGAATCCTTTGATCTTTCCCGAAAGACTTTGGGCACCTTCAAATGTGCTGGAGATTAGTAAGTCCCTTTAAAACTTTGGGATTTTTATCACCTTGAAAGTTGCTGCTGTTTCTGTGAATGAGATAGCCCCATATAAATACATAAAAAGAAGCAGGATCCCCCAAACATGATCATTTACAGTATCTCTACATGACAAATGCTGTTGCTGCATTTTGCTGGCAAAAAAGGAATGCAAGATGGCAGATGAGTTTAGTCCCTGTTACCATTTGGTCGTGCTTTGTTACATTAGGTCTTTGTTGACCTGCTCTGCAGTGGACCTTTGCTTTGATCCACTGATTGTCTTTCTTACAATATCAGTATCAAGTACAGACTGTGTTCACGCTGTGTGAGAACAATTGGTCCAACCGACAATGCTTTGTTAATGCTGACGCTTAAGTTACTAGTATTTCTGTCAAATGACCAGTGCACCTTTCTCTAACATCCTGCCCACTGTTAAGTACCTGTCCAGGAAGCTCTTGTGCATTTAAGTTTGATGAACAAATGCATCAGCACAATTCTGATGTATTTGTCGGTGATGTTCCTTAATTATAACTCCCTATCTATTCTTAATTATAACTCCCTCTATATACTATAACTCCCTATCTAAATTCAATTACATACAATATTCTTCCAAAGTTTCCCTTGCTAAATTCTTTTAGATTCAGAGATGATATCATGTATTGTTCTCTATTTAAACATGAAAAGATTATGTTGTCATTTCCAGATTTGACTTGTCAGTGTAACAACATGTTTTTGAGGGAGGAGTATTCCTTCCCCCCTGCACTTTGTTGTATTTTTCAGAATGTCAGTTGTTGTTGCATTCTGTAACAGCCAGGAAGGTAAAGTATCTTTCTGCTGTAACTGAAGCATATTTAAGTTTATGATTTAAAGATATCTCAGAAGCTTTTTAACCTCAAGATCTGGAGTGGCAGATGCCGTAAAACAAATTTGCTTGCTTTTGATTCTTACTTTCTGATGGTATAGCAGATTCTGACATGTTCTCATTAACCTTTTCCAAAGAGTTAAACTGTACAAGTGCATAATGTATATTTTATCACAATTTAATCTGGGATCTTTTCCTGTTATTAAGAAACAGCTCATGCCTGTTTCTCCATGGGCTGATGGTTAGAGATGTAGCAAGTAGCAGTCCCAGGTCATTCATGGATCTGGTGTCTTAGCTCACCCGTGAAGAATAAGAATTGCTAGAAGTGACTAATTTTCTTAAAGGCTGTGCCAAGTTTTATGTATATGAGGGTGTGCCTCTATGATTTGTCCCTTATTTCTTAAGGTTTTATTAATTTTCCTCTTAATCTGTTGTTTGTTTGTTGTTTTTTTTTAATCTGTGTAATGGTATTTTGGCCATATTAGGTTATTAAAGTTTCTAAAACAGTACCACTATTAAGAGTTGAACCTGTACAGCTCAGTAAAGGTTGAACAAGTTTTTAGTAGCCATTTTTTAAATTGGATGTTAACTTTTACTAATAAAGAACTTGAAATGTGTTTTCAAAATGCTGGCCGGATTCTTGCTTAACAAGTATGAATTTACATTTATTGATCTTATTTAACATCAACACATAATACCAAATGACATGCCTGTTTAAATTAGGCTGAAATTAACATAGCCAGCCTATGGCTGAGTGATTGCCATTGGCATATTTACCAGATACCCTTCAGCATCGTGTTCTTTTGTCTTAAGATTATTTGAAATGGTGTTTTGTTTCTGTAAGTTCTAGTAATAGCCTGTTTATGCATTACATATACATGTATGAAATTTTATAAATGCTGAAGCCCCATATTGATGGCACGCTGCAGGATGAAATCTGACAACATCCATCATCACTGTATTTTACTTCTCTAGATCTGAAGTCAACCAGCTTAGTCAGGAAAAAGAGTATCTTCATGGCAGATTGGAGAAGATGCAGAAACGGAATGATGAATTGGACCAACAGTGTATCCAGCATGGGAGAATGCATGAGAGGATGAAGTCGAGGTAGGGGTCCTGTTAATCTGTCAGTATGTGGTATGCTCTTCTGTACCTGTTATGTTGTGTAAATGTAAAAATGACACTAAGTTGTTCAAAAGTAATATTTTTTCCTTATGAAAATGACCACCCTTTCCCCCTCCCCAAGCATTCTGTCAAGTTTTTTTATAACATCTTTTGCTTGTGCCATTTTGGATAAATAAAAGGAAAGCTTGAACAACATAGTCTTCCAAAGAATTTAAGCCTGGTACATATGTGTGTGGGCTGCTTCGGCTGTTCTCTGCTCTAACTTGGATGAATTGTCTTACCATATTAAAAAAAAAGGGGGGGGGGGTGAGGAGGAAGGGGAGAGGAGGTTATTCAGTAATATGAATGTACAGTACAGATGTGGATTCCATAATGCCATTTAATAGGTGTATTATTGGAGTTTACCATCTTACCTTTCTCAATAATATTTAACTTGTATAAACAGACAAATCTTACTGAAGATCTTAGTAACCAGAGAACTATTAACAGCTTCCAGGCAGTACTAGCCTTTTCAGAGACGTAGCAACTTCCTTAGGAAGAGCTGGGAGCAGCTACAGCAAGACTAGTATGGAATATTTCCACCGATACCAACTGACCGTTCTGGCCAGCGTGTCCAGACTGATAATGCCTTGTGCTGTGATTTGCATTAGATGTCCTTAAAGATCACTGTGGAGACTTTCCTTTTTGGTATCAGAAAGTTCATCTCTGGTCTCTTGTTCTGTTTTCCACTCCCCATTCAGTGTAACAGGCACTGGAAAGAGCTTGGGTATGGTTGGGGAGATAGAGGATGAAGTAGGGAGATGACTGAGAGGCAACTCTGCAAACCCAATCAGCTGAGCTACCTCTTGTCAGTAGTGAAAAGCAAAATGCAGTTTAACTTCATTTGGACTAGACAGTCCTGGCTGGGCAAAATTCTGTTAGCTTTTTTTGACCACTGACCACCTAATAGGAACAGGGCTTGCACGTATTGAAGCAGCTAGTCTTGTATGCTCTTTATTTTTCTTTTTCTCCAACTATTGATTTTTTTAATTTTATTTTTTTCTGCCCTCTATTCATTCTCTGTCTGTCCATATCAGCTTGTTTTTTTGCAAGGTCTCCATACATTCTTTTCGGTCATCTAGACCTCCTTCTTTCCTCTTCCTTTTCAGATTTCTGTCTGTACCTCATCCTGTTCTTCTGTAACCCAGGATTGTCATCATCTTTTATAGCTCAGAGAGCAAAGAAATTCAAAATGCTATAACTGTGTCACTAGTTTATGTGACCACATAATCTTTCTGTTTATCTCACCTCCCTTTTGGTTGCTTTACTCGTGGTGGATTTTTAGCATCTGGGGGACATGCACTGAGTACTCAGGGTTACTTTCAGGAGAAAAAAAAAAATTTTTTTTTTTCCCTCCTAGCTCTTCTCCTGTAGAATTATTAGTATCTAGCTGAATTTTAAGACTGCTTTGTAAGTTTTTAGGACAACCTTCCCTCTGTCAGAACCAAATAGATCTACTGGAAAATGTTGCTCATTCTCTGCTGTGCAGCAGCAATGATTATGCACTAGAAAAGATTGAAAGCATTAATCCAGAACAGAAAAGTGGTTTGAATGCAGAGTGGTCATGCTGCAGGCAGTGCCTTACCTTCTGCTGCTGTTTTGCTGACAACAAGGAGAGAAAACAGGACAGTGATAGCATTTGTCTTATTTAATATTTTAAAACATGCAAGTATGGCAGATTATCAGGTATTTGAATCAGGAACAGTATACCTTACCAGCATTTTAAGAAGGGATTATTTTAACATATTTTTAATTATGAACTTGCACTATATTCCTTTAAAATCCAGGTAATAAGTGACAAGGCTGATATAATAAGCTGCTTTAAAAATACAGGGTAATCTAATTTTAGTTTCCATGTGAAAACTGTAATAGATTTTCAGTATCAGTTCTCAAATGCTATAAATTGGCTATGAAGTATTCGGATCTAGGTGAAGAAAAGCAGAAAGCATAACTACTACAACAAATAAATCTCCCAGTTCCTTATATTTATGTTGAATGACTTCACCAAATAAAAATAGTGATCTTTCTCTTCTGATTTGGAAAATAGAAATCTGACTATGCTATTTAGTAAAGACAGAAGAACAAATAATAATAGTGTGTTTTGCCTCAGATTTTCGTCTATCACTCAGATACTAATAATCATAGTGAAATAAAGTTAAGGATGATTACTTCTTTACACGGTATGTTTCCCCTTTGTATGCAGCTACAAATAGCACTTTTTGCCACACAGTCCTGCAAAGTGAGTTCCTACCTAATTTTCTAGCTGTTGTTGTTCTGTCTGTCTTTAGAAAGTTTCTTGTACCAAAACGATTTTGACTGAACTTGGGACCTAACATTTGCATTTGAATAATAAAGAATTGTGGTGTTTCTTTAAGAAAAGATCTCTATCACTCTTGTGTTCTCCTAGGAGAATATGACAGGCCCTGATATAAGAATTTTGTGGAGGGAGCAAGATCTAATAGATAAATCGGAATTTCTTTTGGAGCAACAATGTTTTGGCAATTGTGATAGTTGCATTCCTGAAAGTGAACAAGATAACTTTCTCTGCCATTCCTATCTTTCTGTCTGAATATGTGCTGCAAATGAATATAGTCCAAAATGATACAAGCATGTTTTAAAGAAAGAGATTACTTTAAATTGCAATCGTTAAAGACAGTTTTGAATCAGCCTTTTCAATGTTATGCAAATATCTATCCCTTTCCGTGTGTTTTTGCTCAGTGAAATAGGGCATTAAAAGAAATAGATGTTCATCTAAATGATAGAGTTCACACATTGTCATGGTTTAGCCCCAGCCGGCGACTAAGCCCCACGCAGCCGCCCCCTCACTCCTCCGCGGTGGGACGGGGGGGGGAACCGGAAGAGTAAACGTGAACGGAGGACAGGGGACACATGCTATTGAAGCAAACTTGAAAGATGTATGGTTTGCAGGACTAGGGTCACACGTTAAGACTGCAGTGGAGCTCATGAAGAGGTGTTCATTTAATATGGTTAATCTAGCAGCCCTGTGGAGTTTTGCTTTAGATACTTACTTGATGTTTTTTTTATGTTAGTTTGTTCTTGTTTTGGTGGTTTTTGCAGCTATGTACTTTTCCTTTTAGACAGTGATATGTTTAGCTATGTAGATTATCTCAAAAGTATTAATTAACATGACATAGGGTCACAGATGTACCACTGGAAGTGAGCTGGCCAACATGTGTGACTTTCTGGATCTGAGTCTTGGAGAAATAAAATCGTGTCTGTTATGTAGCAAAGAGCACTTTGATAAACTTTCAACCTGAAAGCAAATTTTATTATAATCTTCAAATTCCCATTCTGTGGTATGTATTCATTGTAGAAATTAGGAGGTAGCAGAAAGCACAGAATTTCTTATAAGGCAGCTCTAAAGATCAAAAACTAGCCAAGAATACAAAGAATATGTAGCAAAAAATAAAAATTTAAGCTACTTGTTTTCCTTCTGTGCTCCACTCCACACACAAAATAAATAGGTTCCAGAGGAAGGAAAAACCAAAATCAAATTAATTGAGTAACTGTACGCATAACATTGGTTATAAACATTTATAAACAATGGTTATAAACATAAACATTCACTCCTTTGTTTTCAAACTGAATTCCAAGGCATGCATTGTAACCTCTGTAGTTAGATCAGTTCTGTATATGCAGATACACTTTCTTGCAAGCTCTGTTCTCTTCCAATTTGGGGAGCAAGAAGAAAAAGACAAGAATCTGCCTAGATCTGCTATTGATGGAACATATTTATGAATAAGTTATATTTGCCCAAGCTGCCGTGGATTTCATCAGGCCATTTAAGCTTTCACTGAACTTAGTTAACAACACTTACAGGTACAAAGTTGAATTGCAACTTTTCTTTTCTGCATCTATTCTTCTTATCATAAAGCAGGCATCTGATTGTAAGTCATCTGTTTAGAGAATTTCTTCTGTGGACAGTCAGTATCTAAAAGGGGAAGCATTTAACTTAATATAGTGAGCTCTTTTCTGTGTACATTTCCTGTTAAAGACCCAGGTGATGTGTGGGAATACAGCAAATATGGAGTAGTGTCTTCAAGTAGGAGAAGAAAATCCTAGGCAATCCGTTTTCTTTTTTCAAGCTGAGCCAGACATGCCTTTACTTCTTATCAAGCAGCAAAAAAGAGCACATGGGCAGTAGTTTGTATGAAGTATGAGGCTCTTTTGAAATGTTTTTAATAAAGCATAAATTTAGAAGCTTCTAATGAATTTTTTTCCAAACATTTTTCCAAACTAAGTTCACTATATGGGATCTGGGGATATGGGTCTTCTCTAAAACTTCAGTTTTGGTGGTTAGAGTTGGTATTACTGTTATTTTTGCTGTAATGTGTGTGTGATCACTGTCCAATCTGTCTAACATTAACAATAATAATAAATTTTATGCAAATTTCTATGGGGTTTTTCGTTGTGGTAGCTTTTTGGGGGTGACAGTGTTGGATGTATTTTGACTGTATTTTTGGTAGCTAAAGTTTAAAAAGAAGAGCCTACAGGAATGGCAGTTTGGGGCAGATGTGTGTCTATTCCTCAGGCATCAGTGGTTGTAAGTTAACTATAAAAATGTTACAACCATCTGTGTAACAAGACGGCAGAGATCTGCTCTTGCCTGTTACTATAAATAAGAAGGAGATTTGTTTGACTTCATAGACATTGGATTTATAAAGACTATATGTGTCAAATCGTAACTACGTGCCATGTTGCTGAGATGTGTCTGCAGCCAACTACCTGGGGTGTCTTCCCCTTCAGACACTCTAGTGTAGTGCAGCAACCGTGCAGAAATGTCTGTATAGCACAACATGTGACAAATTGTATTTGTTTTCTACCTATGAGGAAATGTATGATTCTTACGGATAAGCTTATCTGGAAGAGTAGCTAACATGGATTCATAAAAGGACCACTCAAGGAGTTAGAGAGAAAATGTGACAT